CTGTGTTTGGTTCTTGAAGCTGTTATAGGATCTTGCCATAAGTTTCTCCAGGATTATGAGCCATGCAAGAAAAGAAAGTAGGGTATGACCCAGTAGTTAAATACTGTAAACGATTTGCAAGGTGAGGATTTTTCAGATTGTCTCTAGGACATTACTGGAAGTCCAGGATGAAGCTGTTATAGGATCTTGCCATAAGTTTCTCCAGGATTATGAGCCATGCAAGAAAAGAAAGTAGGGTTTGACCCAGTAGTTAAATACTGTAAATGATTTGCAAGGTGAGGATTTTTTCAGATTGTCTCTAGGACATTACTGGGAGTCCAGGAAGAACTGACTAAACTAGTGTCCTGATTTTCCCTTTATTTTATTTCAGTTTTAATTCATCTTTAGTTGTATTGCAGTACAGCTCCATGCTTCTTCTGGTACCTCTTCTCGATACAGAGCAATTAAGTAGTTCCTCCTCCCTTCTTTTCCTTCCCACACCCCTTATCTGGAAAAAAGAGATCTAAGTAGGTGAGAAAGGACAACTATATAGCTATTTCTTAAAATGAGATCTACCTTGATGGAAAAAAAAATTGTAAACCCACAAAATAGACGTGATTTACTGTAATTGCAGAGAGAAGAGTTCTGTTTGTTCATTTCCAAGACCTTTAAACACCTAAAAGGTGTTAATTCTCCATCATTAAACTCTCTTGTTGCTCATGGCTTGTCCTAGGCTGTCACATCAACCACATACATTTATGTGCAGTTGTTGCAATCTTAAATAGCTCCAGCCCTGTAATCTTTGCCAGGTTGGTTGGTTTGTTTGTTTTTTTCCCCTTGTGCAACCGTTTGCAGGTTCTGACTCATCTTTATGTTTTCCTTTAATCATAGCTTTGTAATTTCTCCTGTTAGTGTGTTGGTTTTGTTCTTGCTGGTAGGTAGTGGCAAGCTATTTGTTTACCTACGGAAAGAGAGGGACAAATTTTGTTCTTAGTCGTGTGCATGTCTTTCAGTGACTTATTTAGTAGTCTGTGTGTGGGATGGCAGGGCTGAACCTGCAGACACTCCAGCTGCCTTTAGCACATGCGTCACACAATGCAAGCGCGCCAATTTTAAATTGGTTTTTGGTTGGTGTTTGTTTTTTTTGGTTGGTCTTTTTTTTCCCATGGAAGGGGTCAAAAATGTGAATCGGTAACAGGCATCTTTAATGTCAAGAAGAAATCCTTCTGCGTGGCGCACGGCAGCGGCTCCGCTCACGCGGCCGCGGGGCGCGTGGAAAGCGAGCTTACTGCGCGCTGTCGCGAGCGGTGCAGATGCTCCGGCAGCCGGGCTGCCCAGGCAGCCTGCTCTGCCGCCTCAGCTTTGGCACGAAAACCACGCCAATGAAAAGCAGATCTTCTTTGAGGAAGTTGAAAAGACGTATCAGTTAAGTGGTTTGGGTTAAATAAACACTGTTTATTTCTAAACTCGCAGAGCAGCCGCGTGTATATGGTATTAGGGCTCAGATTTGCAAGGGAATTATCCATAGATACCTAAAGAGAAACAGGTGGGGAATATCACGTGCAGTATCAAAGATGCTGTTGTGCTGAGAATTCCTGAATTCAGGTGTAACAAAGCTGCTTTGTTAACTGACCAACATTGTTAAAATCTCTTTCCTTTTTCAAACAGGAAATCTTGCTGGCCCACACAGGAAAAGCAAAAGCAGTTGACAAAAGGCTTGTAATTTATATACTGACAGCCTACTTCATTGTTAAACATGATTCTTTAATGCACTGTATCTGGTGTGTGATTGATTTCCGTGTAGCCTGTTACCCAGCTGAAACTAGCAACATATCAGCATTGTTTCTTTTTCCTTGGAAATTGAGGATAAATTCAGCGTTCTTTGAAAGTATTAGGTCCTGAGACCTTGCAGGGCCGGTGAGTGACTGCGCTTGGCGGCTTTTTAATCAGTCTCTAAAAAATTGTATTTACAAGGCCCATTTTTTCTTAGATGGTACAAATCTGGGCTATGCTGGTGAGACTTAAGGGTTAAATTCCCAACACTGTCGCATATGGCAGTGAGCAGAATCACAGATGTTGATGATACAACATAATTAGTATTCTTTTATGTAAATGAAGGCTGTCAATGTTACCATAGTGTCTATACTCTTTGGAGCTGGAATCTATGCCACTTGGTCTCACCAAGGCTAGACGGGATTATTCCACAATTTTCTATCAAGACCTGAGGAGAAAAACAAAGAAGAAAGAGGCGGGGGGAAAAGGTCGGGGAGGAAGGTGAGAGGAAGGTGGGAAGGGTTGTTTCCAACTTGGAAAGAGGAGACCAAATCAGTCCTTTGTTTAGTGTAGGATTTCCAAAAGTATCTTTCCAGGTCCTAGGATTTGTGAGTGAATGAACGCAGCCCAAAGGAGAGGTGTAGCAGGTTTTTAACTGTTTTAAATAAACAACTAAAATGGTTATTTAGACACAGCAGAATCATTCTGGAGATGAATTCTGAAGTGGCCACTTGTGCTTTAATCTGAAGTCGGGAAGAGTTAAAGAACAGAAGAGCTTTGATTTTGCTTTAACAGATTCCATCTTTAGCAGCAGTGTCACTGGAAAAAGATAGTAATTAAAGTAAATTTGCATAATTTGGCGACCACTAAAAATATGTTTTCTTAGCCTGGTCAGATAGGTTTTCTGCATAACAATCGAGGCAACTGTTCAGTATCTATCCTAAAGCCTTGGGAAAGCACGCTGTGGCCTTCATTATGTTAAACTTTGCCACTCATAAAATCTTTTTTTTAACTAAATATTCTATATGCCAGATCTGACACTCTCTGTGACATCTGTAACCACTTTGTGCCTATTACTGCTGTCCCTCCTATCACTACTTTGTATTATATTCAAGTACTTTAGTCGTAGATGAGTAAGCAAGTTCATTTAGTCTTTCTTGCATTATCACAACAGATAGGTTCTTACAGTCTTTTCTGCTTTTGGCAAAATGCAGGTTTTCCCTATTTTTCTTTCCTCAGTAGTTCTTCTTTTGTTGCAATTCACACTTGACAGCTATTCATTACTTCATTTTTATTGTCTGAAAAATCATCTAGAAATGAAATTTAATTCAGGACAATTTTTTTTTTTCTTTTTTCCTCATCTCCTCCCCCCTTCTTTCACCAAGTTATCGAAGCAGCCAAAACTGAAGTGATCACAGGAGGTGCACGTTTTTGCTCAGTTTTTTTTTAACTCAGCTTTTTTCTCTGCCATATGTTGGGTCATCCACTACAAAAGACTTAAGATGAAGAGGCTACATGTGATCAGCAGATTTACAGATTATCAGAAAATGAAAGCAGAAAAATGGAATTCCAGAGCGCCTCGTCCATGTGACATTTCTTAACATCGAAGTATTTGGGTTCCTAGGTGCATTCATGCTTTGACTTCTAGATAATTCTGTTCTCTGTAATAAATGTGTTCTCTGCAGTAGCTCTTGCACTGAGGGGATTAATGGTGTTCAAAAGCAACCCTGCCAGTGTTCGTAGTTTGTTTATGTGCATCACAAGAATATTCTCTCTCTAGGGCTTTGAAGCTGTGCTGCCTTACAATGAAGACTTAAGTAGTAATTAAATTCTCGAAGAACCGCCAAGACTCCTTTGGCTGAAATGGGGATGTTCCGCGCCCTGGATGCTGCGTCGCGGAGGAAAGGATGTTTAAACATGACTCCGTGAGTAGCGCGAGCGAGCGGGTCTGGGTGCTGTTTCGGCGCCCTGATCTCTTTCTGTTGGATCCGAGCATTAGAGGGGCTGTACAAAGAAACCACAGCGCTGGCTCACGGTCTTCCAGTTGTGCTCTTTGTATGGCTGAGCATCTTTTTTATAAAACGTTTGGGCCCAGGACACGGAGTGAAAACTTTTCACCCCTTCTAGTTTTAGTATCCCTGCTTTGATTTCTGTTCAGTTACAATATAGTAATTAAATCAGTTGCTTTTTCTGTTTATGTGTGCTCATGCAAGCATGTACACCTGCAGGTGTTCCTTTAGGTTTACTATAACATGGTGTTACATGTTTTTGGTTTTTTTCTCTGCTGACTTTTTCTTTAAACATTAAAATATTTGGGAGGCTGTGGGAAATCAGAGAATTTGAGGGTAGAATGTAAAGCCAGCGGACTTGCAAATGCTCTGGTTATGACAATTACCTGATATTTTTGTGGCTTCTATGAGAAGTTGGTAACCTCAGTCTAGTTCCTGATGACATGCATTCCAATTCCAAATTCATTTTGTATGTATCAATTTCAAGAGGGCAGCTAAAGATCAAACGTGTGTGTGGACTGAATTAATCTTGTTCTCCTTGGAAGTGAGCCGTTCAGGTTGGGTAAGGCGTGCTGGCAGCTGTCTGGGCTGTCCTTAGTAGACAGACAGACAGTTTTATTCTGCAGACCTTGTCAATCCAATACCTTTTGCTGGTACTGAAAACTGCTTTTAAAAAACTGCGTGTAGAAATACTGCAGTCAGTTGAAGGAAAACTGCAGCTGGGATTGACAAGACATGACATCTGTATTTTTATAGGTCTTTACAGGTGGTACAAAAGACATAATTTTAAATATGTATAGTGGCTCTAAGATCCTTTCCTTTCTCTTTTTGCCTTCCAAGGTCAAAGCAGCGAAGACTTCTGTAAGACATGGATAGATGCAAACATGTTGGGCGGCTACGACTCGCCCAGGACCACTCTATCCTGAACCCCCAGAAGTGGCACTGCGTGGACTGCCAGACAACTGAATCTATTTGGGCTTGTCTGAAGTGCTCCCATGTAGCCTGTGGAAGGTACATCGAGGAGCATGCACTTAAACACTTTGAAGAAACCAGGCATCCATTGGCAATGGAAGTTAACGATCTGTATGTCTTTTGTTACCTTTGTGAAGATTATGTCTTGAATGATAACCCAGAGGGTGATTTGAAATTGCTGAGAAGTTCTCTGTCAGCAATTAGAAGTCAAAAACATGATCCGTCAACCAGAAGTGGCAGGACATTGCGATCAATGGCTTTGGGAGGGGACATGTGCAGCCATCAAAGGAGCCCTCAGGGACAATCTCAGATGCTTACAGCTCTCTGGCACAGGCGCCAGTCCTTGCTCGCAAAGGCGCTGCGGACCTGGTTTGATAAGAGCTCTAGAGGCCAGCTAAAATTAAAGCAAAAGAAACAAACGGAGGAGTTGGAGAAAAAGAAGGAGGCAGCTAGGCAACGGCGGCAGGAGATGAAGAGACAACTCCTGGAGGAGCTGGCAAACACTCCTCCAAGGAAGAGTGCGAGGCTGTTGTCACATGTGCACAGGGAGAACTTGATTCCAAGGAAATTCAGGGAGGTGGCAACCGCTTCCCCTACCTCAAGGCAGATGCAGAGCAGCAGATTCAAACAGTTCTATTCCATCCGGCGTAAGCCTCTGATGACTCCTGGAGTAACGGGTCTAAGGAACCTGGGAAACACATGTTACATGAATTCTATTCTGCAAGTGCTAAGTCACCTCCAGAAATTTAGAGAATGCTTTTTGACACTTGATCTCTGTGAAACAGAAGAACTCTTAGCCAAAACTGTGAATGGGAAGTCTAGGATGCCTGGCAAATTGGCAAATGGGTCTGCTGCTAATGAGTCAGGGAAGACTGACAAAGTGGGATCATATGGCATGCAGAGCTTGCCAGCTGGCTTAAATGGTGGCTCCTCAATAAGCAGGAGTTTAGAACTAATACAGCCCAAGGAACCCAGTTCAAAGCACATCTCCCTCTGTCACGAATTGCACACCCTCTTCAGAGTGATGTGGTCTGGCAAGTGGGCGCTCGTGTCCCCTTTTGCCATGCTGCACTCTGTGTGGAGTCTGATCCCGGCATTTCGAGGTTACGATCAGCAGGACGCTCAGGAATTTCTCTGCGAGTTGTTGGATAAAGTACAGCAAGAACTGGAATCAGAAGGAACGAAGCGCAGGATCCTCATCCCTTTCTCACAGAGGAAGCTCACCAAGCAGGTCCTGAAGGTGGTGAACACCATTTTTCATGGGCAGTTGCTTAGTCAGGTATGCACCTGCGTTTGCACAGAAATCAGTTGGAGCCGTTCACACCAAGGAGCAAAGGCTCTGTTTCTTGAGGAACCACCGGATAAGTAAGAGGAACTGGTTAGGAGTGCCTCCCAAGAAAGAAGTCTGTTGGGTTGCTGTGCAGGTTGTCAGCATTTCCGATACTTGTCACGTGTGTTGTAAATTCAGTTGACTTTTGCCACCTCAGAATGAAATCTGCACAAGTACAGAAGTTCTGAGCCCTTAGTTTTAAGTTTTTACATGGTAAAAAAATGTTAAAATGGTAAATTCGTTTTGTCGCTTCCTGGTTTTGTTTCCATGGCTAGAAGTAATATGATGAAGGACAGAGAGGGCAGTCATTTTGTGCTATAAAGAATAAGCTCTCTGTGACTTTGTTTTGGGGTTTTTTTTGCAAGCATATGAAAGTCATCCTGAGATACTGAGCATGCTTAACATACGTTTCTGTAGGAGCTGAAAGTGCCTGTCATGGTGCTCGGTCTCTTATTCCTGTGCTGTTCCCTTCTCTGAAACATATTATTTCCCACAAGGCAGACCCTGGGAGCCTAGTGCATTTTGAAAGTCCTCAGCTACCAGGAGAAATGAAATATGTGCATAACTTGACACTCAAGGGTTTGCAAGATCAGACCACGAAGCGTATTACATGTGTGTATTCTCATTACTATTTATATCATCCTTCTCAGTGCCAGTCTTACTGAGCTTACCACTTACAAGAACTTCTGTGCACATTAATGATTAAAAGGTGTATTTCTTCAAGTTAAAGCTTTTGGCTTTTCAGGGAAAGGATGCTTGAAGTTGTGGTTCATTTGAATCATCTCTGCAGTGCAAGAACTTCTTGTGAACTTCTTAAGGAAAAGCTCTTTGTTCAGTTGTCTCTTGACTCAGGAATATGATGCGTGTTCTAGATTCAGTGGTAGGTCTCCGTTAACAGCGTGATGTTCACAGATCAATGTAATTTATCTGCTGCCAATGATACACTATAAATAACTTGCCGAACTCTTTATTCTACTTATGTAACTATTGTGTACATGTACTGAATTTAATTTCAAACCCGTCTATGCACAGAAGACTTCCTTCTCTATCTGCTAGCTACAGATCCATCTTAAAGTTACTGGTGCCTTCAGCGCATGAAGCTGCAAGGTTGGAAGTTGGTTTCTGGTGGATGGTTCTCACAAGAATGCAAAGGCTGACCAGATCTGGTTTTGTTACCTCCTCATGTTCTCACTTGCTGCCTCTGAGTTTAATTGAAAACTTTTCTGCTGTTCTTATTTATAATAGTCTGGGATGACATAAGAAAACAGTGCGTCTGAAATTTGTCCTTTCATGCTCCGTTCATGAATAACTTCTATATAGTTAGCAGATGAAACATTAAAGGAATTATACACTTTGAAATATGCAAGGAAAGTAGAGAAACTATGGAAGGGATGATAAATGCTAACGTGTACTTGTTGTAGTGGAAGGCAGATCCAAAGTGCTTGTTACCCAACTGTGAATTGGTATTATACCTGTAATGGTGTTTATCTGACAAAGTGAATCCCATAAAGGTGAATATTGTCTCCATTTTTTTTGAGTATTGAGAAAGTATTTTAAACTATCTGCTCAAGATAGACAGCTTTCAGACTAGAAATAAGTAACATTTCTCTTGACTCACAGATCACCTGTATGTCTGTGAAACTGCGCTGCCTTTTGGGCATAAACTTGCTCTTTAGATGTGAATGTAAATGCCAGTCTGCAGGTGTACATGGTCATAACTTCATTTGTGTATGCACATTTCATTCCCAGGTCACCTGCATAACATGCAACTACAAATCCAACACTGTTGAACCCTTTTGGGATCTTTCCCTGGAATTCCCCGAGCGCTATCACTCTATTGAGAAAGGGATCATCCCCGTTAACCAGACAGAGTGCATGCTGACAGAAATGTTGGCCAAGTTCACCGAGACCGAAGCTCTGGAAGGGAGGATATATGCGTGCGACCAATGCAACAGTAAGTCGGATCCTGTTGCTGTCTTCACCATTAGAAGCACCATCTGTTTTTCTGAGTGAGAGGTTTCTGATGCATGTTTTGTGTGTCTGAAGACATGTATATGTATAGGAAAGCTGTGTTCTTCCTTGCTGCTTGTGCTGTTTTGTTTCCTCCTGTTGGTAGCTTCTGCTCCTTTGGGTGCCAGCTTGGATCTGATAGCTCATCCTCTTGTCTGTGCCGTTCGGCAGAGCAGTTTGCTAAAGCTTTAATATGACCCTGTTCAGAGCCACTCTTGCTGCTTGTGTTGGAGGGGAAGGGGAAGGCAACTTCAAGAATTTATCGGGTGAGAGGGGCTTGGATTTAGCGAGAAAAGAAGGAACCTTATCCCCTGTGGTTTGCTCATCTCTGCATGACAGGAAAGCTTTTATAACAAGTCATCTATATGCTGCTTGTTGTTGATTGAATCCTTTAACTAGAAATCACAAATGCAGAGTTCTCAAGGTCTGCTGCCAGGTTAGAGTTTCCATCTCTCTGTAGGCATTTTGTCAAGAAGCAATGAACTGACATTATTCTGGGAGTCTCAGGTTAATGTATTACCCATTATATGAATGCACGTGTTTTGCTGCACTCAGCTAGAAGATGACTTCTGCTTTCCTGTAGTAGGTCTGAGTGTAAGGTCATTATATGCCCGAAAATAATTTTAGCCTTGTGTATAATCATGCAGCTCAGCTACTCTGATAAGCTGGATTTTAAGTTTTTTTTCATGCAAGTATTTATGGCAAATGTTCATCCCCTTGGGAGGAAAATGCCAATAATTTGACTTACATTGCAGCTAAGCAGCTGAAGTAGCAAGTATTTGTGGGGTTCTGTTCTGTATCAACTTGCAAATCTGTTGCCAAACATCTTCACAGAGTGCTAGGAAATAATCGTTGACTAGATGTTCTTGAAACAAAGCCGAATATAATTTGAATAGATTCTGATTCACAAATAATGTTCACAAAGTGTCAATACGTACATGAGTACAGCTTCATCTTAACTCTGTTTTCTTTGATTCTTTGTGAAAGCCCAAATTTTAACAGAGTTAAATGGCTAAGAAAATACTAACCAGCTGAAAAAAGTCAGGGAAAGGCAACCAGTCTGCGTCTAGGTGCCAAAAATTATTGGGGGCACTGCTTGTCAGACATGATGGAGGAGGAGCAACCCATCTGTTCTGAACTGGTGCAGTGAGGTGCAGAAATCTAATTAACAGGTACATTTCTTATTGGAAGCTCTGAAAGCCACCTGGCTTCCTCCTGGTATAGTCGTATGTTCAGTGTCCTGGAAAGACTAATCGCTGGGAAAAGGAACCTTTTCTCCTCTTCTCCAGTTTTTTTCAGCAGTTGTTTTATGTTCTTGGGCAGGCAGAAACCCTGCAAGAGGTGGAACCTTGCTGGAAGCATTTTCTGCTGGCTTGTATTGATATTCGTGAGCTAGTGAAGCTTGCTACTACCAGCTTTACTGTAGTGCTATAATAAGTAGTATTTTAACAGAATACAATGTCAAATAGTAGTATTTGTACACTCGTAGTTCACCTATTGAAACTGCTACAGCCCTAGATGTCTTTGGCACTAGTTCTGTCAATATTTCTGGTGTATTTCTCAGAGAAAAATGTCAGCATGAGCAGATTGAAGGTGATAACTGTGTGATTATGAGCATCACAGAAGTGCAAAGGTGTTTAAGTATTTTTAAACATGTAAGTTTTGATACTAGAGAAGTTCCTGCTCTGTGAAGGAATTCATAGGAAATGTTCACTTGTGTGTCCATCCTGAGTGCATGTGAGCTGTACTACTGCTGCCGAAAAAAAAGTTTGTCGTGTTCTTTTCCCCTTTCTGAAAATTAATTACACCCTAACAATTTTTACCTTGATAACTATTTTTTTTTTCCTGGTAGGCAAACGGCGTAAGTCTTCTCCTAAACCTCTTGTTCTGAGTGAAGCTAAAAAGCAGTTAATGATCTACAGGCTACCTCAGGTCCTCCGACTGCACCTTAAACGATTCAGGTGAGCGAGGTACACTACATGATATCAGGCAAGTGACTTGACTCGTGTCTTTTTGGAAAGAAGTGATTAATGTGGGCGCATAACTTCTCTCACTCTCTGGTAAATGCATGTGTATAAACATTTTACCCAAACCAGATGTGTGATACCCTCTCAGACTACTACTTACATTACAATCAGTAACCTGTTTGTAGTGTTTTCTGCTGTATACATACAATGTATTCTTTTGTAAGTATTAATACTCATTTCCTTGAATTGTACTCAACAGTATCTGTCTGAGTTTGCAGACAACTTGAAACGGTGGCTGTGAGATGGATGAACTGACCAGCTGAGTGAAAGATTTGTTGGAAGCCTGTGACTGATAGTTAAATGACAATATTATGTATTTACCTGTTGAATAAAACATAGCAGACAAAGTTCAAAATGTTATGAAAAGCTCTAAAATGGTTAGCACAGGCCATTGAGGTGTGTGGTGTTCATATAACTGAGTGTTTTCAACACCGTTTGACTGTCACAATAGATGTTTGGCTTGCTTTGTGTTTGGCTGTTGAAAATCTCAACAATATTCTAAGTATAACAAATGGGCATCAGTGACAGAATCAGTTAAATGCAAAATAGAGTGCAAACAAGGAAAAAATTCTATGATACCTACTCGACCTTAGCAAGGTCTTCAGAGTTGTTTAGCAAGCAGCTACTTTTGTGTGCATCTTCCCACAGCCCAGTACCACTGTCAAGAAGCAGGATCCTGAGTCTTTGATTCGTGCCCTTGTGTTTGCAGGTGGTCTGAACGTAATCACCGTGAGAAGATTGGGGTCCATGTCCTCTTTGACCAGGTATTAAACATGGAACCTTACTGCTGCAGGGACTCTCTCTCCTCTCTTGACAAAGAGACCTTTGTCTATGACCTCTCCGCTGTGGTGATGCATCACGGGAAAGGGTTTGGCTCAGGACACTACACAGCATATTGCTACAACACAGAGGGAGGTGCGTGTGCCTTATTACGGGGGAAACAAATTCAAGAAACTCATGTTTTATTCCCTAGACGTAGTGTGTTGTAAAGCTGTATGATCAAAGTTGTCTGGAATCACGTTTCCTGACATCGGGTAGTTTGTTTCCCAAAATGTATTGCTAGTAGCATGTTTTCTTTTTTTCCTTTTTTTTTTTTTTTTTTTCTTCCCCCTCCATAAAGCCACAGATTGCTGCTCTTTGCTTTGCGGCCCTTCGGGATGCCTTTTATTGCTTGCTGTTGACAGCATGAATGCTTCATTTTCTCAAGCGATGTAATTCCGTGGAGCTGCTCCAGCTGGGTGTCTTTTCTCAGTATCCTTGGGATGATGAGATAAACAGTGTTTTGAAACTGGACAGGAACTATTCATGAATAACATCCGCAGGGTTTTTGTGACTTTCCAGCAGTCTCTTTCTGCAGCTGAATTAGTATTGACTCTGCCTTCTGACTTGTGGAGAAAGAGGTACAAATTGACTATCTCCAGGAAATTTTTATTTCCCTAATTGAATTTTTGGGCTGTACTATACAATTGGTTAAACTATGATTTGGTATTTCTAAACGCTGTTAACAGCACAGAAACAAACAAAATGTATTCCAGATTAGAAACTCCTTTCCAAAGCATCTATAGGGGAAAAGATAGAGATGCCTTTCTCCCTTTTTCTCTGTGGATGTTTCCTAAGAACAGTTCCAAAATGCATTCAGAAGGCATGGTGCCTCCCTTACTAATGTCCTCTTTCTCACTTTGATTCCTAGGGTTTTGGGTCCACTGCAATGACTCCAAACTGAATGTATGTAGTGTGGAGGAGGTGTGCAAAACCCAGGCCTACATTCTTTTTTACACTCAAAGAACAGTGCAGGACAAAGCAAGAATCTCAGAAAAACAACTCCAAGCTCAGGTGCCGTCCAAAAATAATGATAAGGACAGAAGACTGACATTCCCATGATGGGGAGCTCTGTAACTCAATCAAGTCTCTTTTTTTAAAAAAAAAAAACAAACCATTGGCGTTCACATCTTTCCTCTGTGTAGGAAAAAAGGCTCGCTGAAGGAAGGGGATCAGATCATGATGTTTGCCGCCCAGGGTCTGGAAAAGCATATCGAGCTGTGCAATTCTGACATGTAAGATTGTAGTCAGAATCTTGTTTTTAAACCATCTTGCTGTTAAATTATGGTCACAAAACGGAATGAGAAAGTTTGATGCTGTATATCGTTCATCTTGTATCAAAAAGGAATTGCATAAGGCGTGTAACAAATGAGCACAACTGGGAAATAGAAGCATTCAGCTGGCTTCAAAAACCTTCAGTACCTAGTAATGCTGATAAAACTGCAGAAGGAACAGGTACAGTACCCTCCCCTTTAATTGCCATTCAGATTTCCAGGGTTTGAATCACACAGTCACCCAGGTATTTATTTGAACGGTTGTTGGATAGAAGGAATTGACTGCCCTGAGAGCCATTCTTGCTGGAGAAACGCAGAACGTTCTTCTACCAGGGGAAATATTCCCCCAGGGCTCAGCTATCTCTGCGATGCCGATTTCTTTGCCATCAATTGAGGGCAAACCCATGGCTAGCAAGTTCTGTCAGCAGCTCTTTTTCTCAGTGTTACTGGGACTGTGTGCGCACTTGATGGTTTATTCTCTGGGCGGAACAGAATTGGCAGCTAATTTCACTAGGAATGTGATTTTTAAAAGAGTTCTGCTCTGGAGAAAGTGTGTTTAAAAACAAACCCCTGTAATAAAACAGGAATGTACCTGTGTATCATATCTGTTTACAGTGGCAGCAAAAACAAAGCCTGTACCACAGGCTTCTGCTGGCATAACTTTGTTCATCAGCAGTATAAAGAAGTCTGAGCCCTGGCTTTGCACAGTTGTGACAGCAGAAGCAGGTAGCGTAGAGGCATCTTACACTGGCAAATTAGCACTTTTTTACAAATGTGGCTTGTTTTCCTCAGGGGAGCAGGGTGGTGGTAATACCACAACAGTGGGAGACAGAGCAAGCTTCTCTTACAGCTTCTATTAATGGAAATATTCGTTAACTGCAGTGGTCACACGAGGCCCAGACTAACTGAAGGCAGTGAGGTTGCACAGGTGTCATGTGCAGAATTCAGCCTGTGAGGTCTTCGTTTCTGCTGGGACATAAAGGGAAGGACTGTAGTTAAATCTCAAATTCCATGTTGAGTTTGAAAGGCTACAAAAATGTCATATTGTACAAAAATGGCTACAAAAAACATAAGGCCTTAGTTCACTATTTATAGTCACTTCTCAGCCTACAGTTGCTCCTCAGGTGTTTTTATAATTTGGGGTTTGACTGTTCACATTTCATGTTTTAATCAAATCTGAATATGTAACTGCAAAGAGACATGATGTCTTTCAATCTTGATGTTTTTTTTTTTTTAAAGTTGTTAAAGGTGAAGTAATGTAAAATATGAGGTTCTTAAAAAAAAAAAATTGGTTCCATGTTCAGGTAGAGAAGTTCTGAAAGTGTGTTTCTCTTCCTCCCTCTTCTCCTTTTATTCTTGTCACACTGACAACCCTACGTTGTTGTTGGAGGGGATGAAGAGGTAAATTTCCCAAATACCATTCCTCTCTTTCCCCTGCCACCACTGTGACTTTTAATCTCCTGTCCTGTGGGCAAACTGAAAACAAGAAACTTCTTTTGTTAGAGCACAGTGTTGCATGAGGTCTCCTCTGTCCTTAAAAGTTTCCCATTTCATGTGTGTCTGAGCAACATGCTGCTTTTTGAGCCTACAAAAACTGTCTTTTTGACAATTAAGTATAATTTTAAGATCATACGCTCTTATTTTTTCGGAGACAAGACAGTTTGAAACAGTCCTATGATTAAAAAGTTTTAGTTTTGGTTCTCCAAATGTAGCAGGGCCTGGAAGGATTTCTTATGAATGTCTGTATATCTTTGTATTTACTAGGTAGGGGATTTTTTTATGCTACCAGTAAATAAAATTAATAAAAATGCAATAGGCCAAATTGAGATCCAATAAAAGTAAATGTGACTCTGCTGAATGCAGGGGAAACTGAGTTGGGCTCAGCACAGGTAGAAGTTGACGTTCCTGAAGGAATCGGAATCAAGTGCTTGTGCTTATCAGATATGTGGTGGATTCTTTTCTAGAGCAAAACATAATGCTCTGTGAAGACTGCGTGTCTCAAAAAGAAAATTAAAGGAAAAATAGTGTTTAACATTGCCTTTTTAATCTTAAGAGGTGGAAGGGAAAACTGGTATTTTTCCCATGCATCTGTCCTTCCAACCCTAGTAACCCTTTATGAGGATTATATTCTTTTAAGTGACAGGTTTACTATGGGGCGTTCACTTTCTGAATCCCTTAGCGGTGCTGGCTTATACAAAAATTCGATAGAAAGGCAAACCGGAATGCAGCATTCGTCGTTACCGCAGCAAGCCGAGACTCTTCGCTGGGAATGCTCATCTTTTGACTGAGTGTTTTGCATTAGTATTTGCATTCAGGTAGTAATACGGTCGTCACGTGAATCGAGCAGGTTGCGGAGGGGAGTGGGGAGCTGGAAGCGTACCTGTAGCCCTTGCTGCGTCTGATTGCCCAAGCAGATTTTGTAGCATTTGCTGCTGACATCTTTTGACACTCGTGGCCTCTCCATGTGACGTTAGCCTAGTTGTGCCGAGATGTGGAGATACTGCAGTCAGAAAAATGATTGCCCTGATAGGGAAGGAATGAATTATACTTCAAAGTAAATAAACTTGCTTTTTCCAACACTGTGAGGTTTCTGTAATATTTAGCTTTTATTTGGAAGCGATAGCGTATAGCATTTTTTATGCTGTTTGGTTTATATTTGTCTACTGCAGGCTTCTTTATATAAGCATAGCCCGGTGCTCCCTCCATGGTGGACACTGTTTTATAGTGTCCTGGTTGCCAGAAATTCTGATTGGAAGTTACCTCTCTACATCAGTAAGATGAAAATACTACCTGCAATCACAGTGAAGCCCACTTAAGTGCATGCCTCACAAAGGGTAGCCTGTAAAGCAAACTTTGTCCCTCCTTTAATGGTATGGCTTCAAATCCAGCTCATACACTGATGTGTATTTAGAGTAATTCCAGGTTTAGGCTCTGCTGCTGCAAACACACAGGCAGATGATGTAACTTCACTCGTGCGTGGAGTTCAGCGGCCACAGATGTGAGTTGCAAGCTAAGGGTCTGCAACCTGAAAACCCTTTATTTTGTTACAACTGGGAGCAGAATTGGTTTCTCTGTGATGTGGTGGGATTCCTGTACTGGACTTCCAGTCTTATAGCAAGGAGTCAGTTGCCTTGAGAGATGCTCAGAGCGAGTGTGAGGTTCCTGGCACCTTGCAGGTTATTGTCTGAAGGTGTAGGAAGCCACTGTACGCTGGCAGATGGTCAGGCTCATGCAGCCTTTGGGACAGAACTGTTCCCAGCATATCCTGATTCCATTCATCTTGTAAGTAAATTGGCATTCCTTAATTTTATGTTTTTAAGAATGAAGAATCTTAATGTATTCATGGCCAGGTATGATACAGCATCTGCTGTAGTTGTTGGAAACCGCTTTATTTTAGCTAACTTTATTCCACTAGCAAGCTAGTTACATATATTTGCCTTTGAGTAATCCCTTTACTGCCTGCATTCCCAAGTTAAACTATGCATACCGCAAAAACAGTTTCCCTGCAAAGCACTGAAAAAAACCCAATTTTTTCTCCCCATTAGTTCTGACCAGAACAAGTCTTTGGTCTGACTTTGAAGTTGTTAATAGGAGGCAACAAATAGAGTAATACATTTTAAATGCTTGACATCAGACTTTTCTGGGAGGCAGTACCACCCCCACTTATTTAGGGACTTCCAGATGGTTTTTTGAGTGTAGGAATAAAATTGGAAATGGTAAAAGCATTAAATGTGTCCTATGGACTTGCTATCAGGAGGTTTTCTTGCTTTTAGAAGGCAAGGGTTCGAGCATAAATACTGTCTTGGTGGTAATTTAGAAACTCTTTTATTGATTGTAATGTCCTGAGGCCTGAATATGCTTAATTGCATTCCAGTGAGAGAGACTAATGAAACTTCTGGCTGTTGCCAGATTACCCCAGGATGAGCTCCAGTGAAGTCATTGGCTTTGCAGAGCGAGAACCACACAAGCAAGAGACAGGGAGATTAGTTTTACCTGCCAATACAGATTTGTGAACTAATTTTTCTATGATTCCTTAGATTTGGTGCCTTGTATCCAATATTATTGTGCATCAGACAGAAATGTTGGGAAATAAGTCGCAATTTCCCCCCTCCTGACTGAAGCAGCAGACATTTGTGAGTTTTCACAAGTACTCACCGTCACTGACATTTTTACGTTTCATATCTGAATGTGAATGAAGTTTACCAGCAAGCTCAGAAGCCGATATTTTAGTGTTACATGTTTGAAATGTCTGTATTTGTAGTAATTCAAGTAACAGCTTGTTCAAAGGCGGATTAGATTTGGCTTTCTAGATTTTCTTATGTCATCGAGGCGCCCTCAGTCAGGTCAGTAAATTGACATCTGTCAGAGCATGTAGCATAGAGCAAGGAATAAAAACTCCAGTGGGGCTTTTGCTAGAGTAGCTGTAGCTTTGGGAAGCACGTTCTGTTACGAACATAATGCTAATTGCTGGTTTAGAAAAGAAAAAAATGCAGTTCCCATTGTCACAGCAGTGCTTGCACAGGTTTCCTCATGTGAGCAAAAGCATGCTGTGGTAATGCCTACGTAAATTTAATATGCAATATTCGTACAGTATATATACCTGGATACACCTTCGTACAGTTGCGTAAGGTGGCTGAGTGTCCCTTCTTGAACGTAAATAGTAAAAGGAAAGCACCAGCTCTGAACACTGCCTTTTTGTGTGCATCTAATCCCTCCAGCGGGTTTGAGACCAGATACGGCAGACTTAGGTTGAGAATTTGCCGCCTGTTGGAATACAAAACCTCAATT